AGAATCATTATGAATTAAATGAAATGGTTTATTTGAATTCTAATAAGAATTCATAACTAGTAACTTGAATGCAAAGTTAGTAAAAGTTGAAGGGGTTGATGATGAAAATAAATATTTATGGAATCGAATGAGTATTTTGAGAATTTTGAAATTTATGATGAAAATACGATTTAGTTTTATATATCAAATTTATTTCTATAGACTTTTATATTATTAAGTTTAGATTATGTTAGTACGATACTAACATATAGTTTGAATATTTTATGTTATTATATGACGTTGCCATACTACAATAAATCTAGTGATCCAAGTGACTCGAAATGGAAGGAAAAAGTGCGGGATTGAGAGGATTATCATAGAAAATGTTCGATAGTGAGGCAAAAATAAGTGTATATTTAATTTATATTTATGTTATTGAACAAACATTGGCTTACGATGAGCCAGCAACGGAGTTACTATGGTAAGAAATGATTCCTAAATATTATGAGATTTGTAATTCATGTATAAATGTTCATTTGGTAAGCTAATAAAATTATAGAATAAGCTAAGGATATTAATTACGGAAAGTTGCCTATAAATTATGATTTTAATAGTAAGTTTAGAAAATCACTATAAATTATGCAAACGTGATTAAAGGATGATCTCTATACCATTGGATTTGTATATTAGTATAGTTTCGTTTAAAACAAACGGATATTGATTTTGAGGTGTCTAATAAATATATAATTTTTAATCGAGGATAGATCATAAAACATGGCAACAGATTTTGCTCAAAACAGTTTCTATAAGTCAAATTTGAAAAATCCCTATAAATTGTACAAGTTGAACTAGAAGAAGTTCCTTATATTTGGTTAGATTCGTATTCGAGTCTAGTTTCCAGTGGTATAAACGGAAATTTTTAAATATGTAGATTAATACAGAATACTACTTCTTTGAAGGTAGTGCAAAATGTCAGAGTATAAAATTTTGATAAATTATGTAGTTGAAGTAATTGAAAGCAAAGAGTTAAATCTAAAGTTTAGTGAGGCTTATATTTTGACTTATAAATAAAGTATCAAAGTAAGTGCAATTTATTTATTTAATTGTTTTGATTGAGGACGACTTGTGATAATTCAACCTCATATTATTTAAAGTATTTTTCTAGTTTAAATATGGCTTATTTCCATGATGTTTGTATAAAGTTTTATGGATGATTTGGGGTATGAACTACCAACGTTCTATTTTGACGATAATAAAGTAAAAATGATTATAAATTTGAAATATTGATGAAACGAATAAAATATGATCTGAAAGCACATTGTATGTTGCATTGAAAATTGTACGTACAATTGGCATGCCATGAGGTAGAGTGATTCTAATTATGATATGGTACATTTGTGTACATTATGAGGACACCGTTGGTGCAAATGATATAAATGCACTTGGAATGCGTATTCTGATTACGATGATAGCACCGTGAAGTGCTTATTGCACACACTTATCTGACTCACGTACCTTGTATTCTCTTACATATACATTGGGCTATGAAAGTAAATGTGGAAGTTATGACAAGTATATGAAAGAAAAGAATATGAAAATGAAATGAAAGTTATGACATATGTACAAATGAAAAGAATATGAAATGCTTGCTATATTTGATGTTGATTTACATGATTTTTTTTATAAAACCATAAGATGATGATTTTCAAGTTTTCAAGAGGAACACATCTTGAATAGTTCGGTTTGAAAGTTTTAATATTTTTGTTTAAATTACATATTTATGTTTATAATACTTTATCTCGCTTTAGTTATGTTACTGCCTCACTAAGTTTTACTTAGCGCCTGATGATTTTCATGCGTAGGTTCGGATAGAGAAAGGAACATGAAGTAAGGAGCCTCTTGAGCATCTTTCCAGAAAATCATGCCTAATATTAGTATCAGTAAGACATCTTATCTTTGACTTATTAGTGGCATGCATATTATATTTGTATGTTGCTTTATCGGATTTGTTTTTAAATGACCTTTAATAGTAATTTAGGACCATTTATTTTGGTTAGTCTATTTATATTCGTATCTATGAATAAATAGTAAATGATTTCCCAATTAAGCAGTTTTAAATAGTTTATGAAACATCACTAAACTGCCTAAAACTAGATTCGTTTTGAATGATTAAATGTTATTTTATGATTTTACGCGATTAATGAAATAATTTTAAAGTTGATAAAGGAATATAAATAAAGAAAAAAATGAAACAAAATTTTAAGTATTAGTGATCAACGGATGTGTATAGTGTTGATATAACATCTTTAACTTATATCTTGAGACACATATGGGTTATGGGTGTTACAAGTAGGGTCATAAATAAGGCTTCAAACATGCTTTTAACATGAAACATATATTCTACCATGAACATGCTCATAAAGCTCTAGTTATTAATTTTCATGCTATGATACACTTCTAACGACTCACTTAAAAGTATGGAGGAGTTGTCAATGTGGTTACCTTGAATTTCTTAGCTAATGACAATGCTCCTAATTCACTCAAGTGGTGTTTTCTTCTTTCCCTTAGCTTTTGAATTTTCTCCTACTTTCTCTAAACAAAATTAAGAAAAGGGATTACTAGCTTAGCTAGAGTCTTGAGTTGGGGTTTAAAACACTTCTACAACTTGAATCTTATTAAAAACGGGTTAGAATCTAAAGATTCTCATAAACCCCTCAAAAACCCATTTTAGAAACTATGGTTAAAATCTTACAATGTGGAGCTTAAATTGAAGTTAGAAGAATGAAGATTAATAATCTTACCTTGGATTAACCAAATTCGATTTGTAATGCTTGGAAATCTTGTTTTTGGAAGGGAAAAGGAAGAGAAAATGATGAAAGGAAGAAGAATGAGGTTTGGTGGGATATTTGGGGAGTGGTTCACGTAAACAAAATAAAATAAGGGGAGTTTTTAGCTTTCAAATAAAAATGGGTAAATTATACTTTTAGCCCCTTTACTCTAAAATCAAACAATGTCACCCTTAACCCTTGGGCCCAACTCAAGCCCACTCCCAAATTAGCTAAGTCCAAATATTTTATTGGGTTCTTTGGTTCGGTTTATAGGTCTAAGGTTGACCCGAACAACTAACCCGGGTTTCGGGACGTTACAATAGGATCAGTAGCTTGCAATGCATTACTTGTTTGCTCTTCAAGAGGAGTCGGGGATTGACTTGCAACTTCTGAGGACTGATTGATTGAAGTCACAACATGATTATCCTGCTCGAATGCACTAGCGATAGGCTGTGCTTCCTCATTATGACAATGAATAGAAGGAGCGATCTCAACTGGATCATCACGAACAACAAGCAAGGGATTCGATTGAACACCCCAGGTAGAGTTTTATATGTGCTTTTAACCTTACGGGCAAAGCGAAAAACATCTTCAATAAATATAACACTCCTCGAAACAAAAATCTTGCGTTACAAAAAGCGATGCTATATAAAGACCAACAGAAGGAGGAGTTAACAACTACTCTTCAGTTACAACAACCAATGCTATATAAAGACCAACAAGAGTTAACAACTATTCTTCAGTTACAACAACTTAACCACCTTGACACGTGTGCAACTGCTTAACAAACCAACCAAAACTAGCAATGGTTCAGAACTCTAACAGAGCAATTGTGTTTAAAAAATGTATGAATATTATCAATAAACTAAGAAAGTTTCTAACCGATAATATCATATATTCACCTCGCATTATTAAAAAATAATTATAAATTTGTGTTATTAGTCAAAAGAATTGTAACTTCAAGTACATCTATTTACATAAATAAGTTAGATATGACTTATTGAAAAGGGATAAATGTCATTATTTTTTTGGTATTATATATATTTTAACACATTATGTCTAAAGTTTAATTATAATGAATCACTATGTATTTATAAATATGATCTATATATTTTAATTATGTTTCAGCTGAATTTGAAACTTATATTTAATCAAATCCTAGCCGCTCTCCCCGTTTTGTTGGATAAATTACGCGCTTAGTATTTAAACTATCAGTTTTAGTATTTAGGTTTAATTTTTTCAAAATCATATCTAAAGTTCAGTTTTTGTTTCATTTTAGTACCCCCGTTAAAAACTTTAGTTTCTGTTTCATTTTAGTATCGTGTTCAAAATTAAACGTTAAGTTTTGAAAAAATTTAAAAGTTTAGGAACTAAAACAGACCAAAACTAATAGATTAGGTACTAAACGCGTTAAGTTTTTAACGACGGGTTACTAAAATGAAATGAAAAATAAACGTTAGGTATGGTTTTGAAAAAAAAAATGAAAGTTTAGGTACTAAAAAGACTAAAATTGATAATTTATGTACTAAATACGTACTTTATCCTATTTTTTCTTTAGAGTTTATGTCGTTTTCTAAGACCATGTTAACTCTTTCTTCTTTGATTTCGTTTAACCGTTGACATAGATTTTGATGCTGGTTGTCAACTGTCGATTCTATTTTCTCTTTGTTTTTTTTTAAATTTTTTAATAATAATAATTCTACATTTGTGACATGTTTTTCATTTTCTTTCTCGGTCGTTTGGCTATTCTTTTATTTATATATTTTCTCATGGTTAGATTTGACGATGTCACGACTGATCAAGATGGTGCTTATTTGTAATCATGTTGATTTTTCCTACTATAGACCCTCATATTGAATTTGGATGTGCGATTTTATGTTCGTGGATAGTTTCTCGCAACGCTTGGCTCTAATTTGCAGTTCTTGGTGGTCTTTCAATAGCTTAATTCATTTTTGTGGTCTAATTTTAGTGCTGAATTATCATTTCCTTATAAAAGTTTAATATCTTATATCAAGAATATTGGCTGCTGAACACAAAGTTCTTCATTTACCAAGGAAATCTTGTATCTGGTGTCATTTTTAAATTCATGTTGACCCTTCCTTTCATCGTGAGGAGGATGCAACGATTGATCCTGCTAGGAATTCTTGAAATAGCCCGAATGCAATAATATCATTTTCCTTCAATTATATTTCAATGGTCTTATTTGTTGAGAAACTTGAAAACTTGTCGTTTACTTGTTTAATTTTGCATGTAGGTAGGGTCCGATGAACTTAGATCTGCTTGATACATTATTCAATGTATAAATAGTTTGATTTCGAAGTATGTAAGTGGTTTGAATTTTGAACTTGGCTATTTTCTTGACAGATTGCTTCAGAAGGTCTCAAGCACCGTGTGTTCGAGATTTCACTGGCGGATCTTCAAGGTGGCGATGAGGATCATGCTTACAGAAAGATCCGTTTGAGAGCTGAAGATGTTCAAGGAAAAAATGTTTTGACCAACTTTTGGGTATGTAAATATAAATACTCTTATTCACTACATTATCCCAGCCGTTTTAGTCATAGAAATTAAAAGATTTGGTTTGGTTTCCTTTTCAAATTTTCAGGGAATGAATTTTACCACCGACAAATTGAGGTCTTTGGTACGTAAATGGCAAACCCTGATTGAAGCTCATGTGGATGTGAAGACAACCGACAACTACACTCTGAGAATGTTCTGCATTGGATTCACTAAGAGACGCCCGAACCAGGTTAAGAGGACTTGTTATGCACAGTCCAGCCAGATTAGACAGGTAATCTACCTCGATTTACTGCCAAGCATCTAGTACTTGTTACTGAATTCTCTCGACTTGCGTTCCAAAATGTCAAAGATCCTTAATGCGAATTTGTCAATCCAATGATGACCGAGTGAAGTTACTTATTGCTTTGCAGATTCGCCGAAAGATGAGGGAGATCATGACTGCCCAGGCAACATCTTGTGATCTGAAGGGATTGGTTCAGAAATTCATTCCCGAGATGATTGGAAAAGAAATTGAGAAGGCAACATCTAGCATCTATCCTTTGCAGAATGTTTTCATTCGTAAAGTCAAAATTTTGAAAGCTCCCAAATTCGATCTCGGAAAGTTGATGGAGGCATGTTTCTGAACACCCATTCTCCCATTCTATTCGATAAAAATATCCAACAGATCCATCTTAAGCGATTTACTGAATAAGATATCAAATATACTCCATGTTGTGTCATGGTAATTTATTTATTTTGTTGCTTTTTCTTCATTTAGGTTCACGGTGACTACACCGAAGATATCGGTGTGAAATTAGAGAGGCCTGCTGAAGAGACAATGGGCGAGGCTCCTGCAGTGGAGTCCTTGAATCTGTACTGTGCTGTTTTTATGCGTCAAAGAGATTTTGTTGATCATTTTCTTTTGTTGTGAAGAACTTGTAGAGAATTTATCCATGGTTTTGGTGTCAAGGATGTGATTTTGCTACTTGATTTTGAGCAGACAATATTTTACTCTATGAATCTACCATCTATATCTATATCAAAGGGGTCCGTTTGATATACTGGAATTGGTTCCTATAACATAATTTACTTGATATACTGTAATTGGTTCCTATAACATAATTTACGTAAAATGAATTATTTGAAAACTATTCAAGTAAAATCAGATACATTTTTAAAAAAATAATTATTGAAAACTATTTTAAGGTATTTTGATAATATTGTGTAAATTATTTTTCACTTGTTTGATATATTGTAATTAATTTTATAAAATTTATTTACGTGAATTGAATTATTTGAAAATTAATTTACATTAAATGAATTATTGAAAAATAATTTTTAAAAAATATTTTATGGTGTTTGACAACATTATGTAAATCATTTCTAGTTGATAAATTTTATATTATAAATATAAAATATAATAAATTATAATTTTATCATTGAGGAGTTCAAGGAATAATAATTCATTTTTCATTGAGGTCGTTTAGTTCGGATAGCAATATTAAATATATAAAATAAAATTACTCATTAATAAAAATATTATTTTATAAAAATAATACACAATATTAATGATATTATTAATTTATTATAAATTTTAAATTAAAATTATAATATCATATATTATGATAATATAACTAGGGATGGGCCTGGGTTGGATTTTTGGTCCACCTGACCTGACCCGAGAACAAGGAATCATCCACCCGAGATCCGACCCGACCCGACCAAAATAAGATTTCACCGACCCAAAATTGACCCGATATATAACTTAAAAACCCGACTCGACCCGACATGAAATAATAAAAAAATATTATTTTTATTCAATAAAAATAGTGACTTAATTGAAAAAAATAATATATAGAGGGATATTATTGTAATTATTCATAAATATATAAGGTAAAATTATATAGTTTTTCAGGTCGGGTCGGGTATTTTTCACCTTAAACCCAAATCCGACCCGAGCCGAACATCACATTTAAAAAACTTGACCCGACTCGAACCAGAATTGTTTTAAAAAAACTCGATCAGATCGGGTTGGGTCGGGTCAGAACCCGTCGGGTTAGGGTCCCATGCCCATCCCTAAATATAACTGAGTATATATTAATATAATATCAAAAAATATAATATTATTAAAATTAAATTATATATATTAAATATTTTAATAATTAATATTTTAATTAAAATAATACTAAAATATTATATTAATATTAAATAAATAAAATACTATTACTTTGAGTGTTTATACTTTGAACATAAAGATTAAGAAAATGTTTTACGAAAAAATAGATGATAAAACATTTTACATAAAATACAAAGTAACTAGGAAAATGAATTACATTGAGAAAAAACCAATTATACATCTTTCAATCACTGTAAAATATTTTTCGAAAAATGTTTTTTACCTATAAACACATAAAAATCAAGAAAAATTCTTTTAGAAAATATTTTCAACTATAAAACACAAGAAAATATATTAGAATCAATGTTTATAATTATAAAATATAAAGTGAACTCTTATTTCAAAAATTATAGATCAATTTATTTTTATTTGAAAATTTTGAGTTTTCTAAGGTTTTATTTATTATATGATTTTTCATAAAGAAATTATTTGATCTACTATTAAATTAGAGGTTTATCTGATTTTTTTATGAATATGAGATAATACTCTTTAAAAAATTCAATTATTTGACATTAAATTTTTATATTCTTGTATAAATAGAGTTTGAATCTGAAACCTTAAGAAATAATAATAATCTCTCAAATTATCTCTTAATTATTGAGATCGTTTAGTTCATGATGTATCAGATTTTCCAACATAACTAAAAGGGTCTATTTTATATTTAAGCATGACATTTTAATAGTCTGATGCAAAAATAAATGCCTAGATTATCTAAAATTGACTTTTGGTGTATAAAGATTTTTTTTAATCAAAAATAGATATCTAATATTTTTTCATTACAATTTCAGGTGTTTACCGTTAAAAAATCCTTAAGTAACACGCGTTATGATTATATTTTTATTATTTTAAATATTATTTAATTTAAAAAAAAAAATTGAACATGACACATCACTTAACGAAAATTTTTAAGGGTAAACATCTAAAAGTATAACAGATGAATCATTAGACATCTATTTTTAACGAAATATTCTTTAGGCACCAAAATTTAATTTTAAATACAATTTAAACACTTATTTTTATATTAAGCCTATTTTTAATCAGGCTTGATGTAAAAATAAGTGCCTAAACTTTACTTCGAAAAACAATTTTGTGTCTAAATAATTTTTCACTAAAAATTGACGTCTAACGTTTTTTTAGCTACACTTCTAAGCCCATTGTTATATTTTTTAATTTTTTAATAATAAAAATATTATTTTTTAATGAAAAAAATAAAAAAACTTAATTTATTTACAAAAGAACCCCAAACTTTTAATGAAATAATAAAAAAAATTAAAATCTCTCATTTCAACCTATTATCAACCGTTATCGTCCATCTCTGGTCAGCAATGTCATTGCTGAACGATTACCCACCTGTTACCGGCCACTCATCAATCAACCGTCGCCTTTACCATCGCCCAAATCCCCAACATTTAAATCCCTAAACCTTTAAATCTTAATCTCCACGCTAGAACGTCGAAGTAGCACCTACGGATTACTATAAACTACAAGAGTTGCTGTATAAGAAAATATAAAGCAGTGTGATCTGTATGTATAAATAATATAATAAAATCTTAATGTTTATGCTGTTATAAAAGCTAAAGATTAAAATGGAAGTGAATTTATAAGAAAGTTTGACATAGGATGAAAAGTGGTGGAGACAGCTTATTAACTGAGAGGCCTAATTCTTACAATGTTCTAAAAGCTATTTCCCCTAAAAACATACCCTAAGCATAACAATACCATGGGAACAACTGGCTGTGTGTGCATGCTGGCCTCAGTCCACACCTCTAGAAGGTCTTGCACACCCACAGAAGCAAGCCTTCTTCCGCCTTCCGCTCCGTCTTCCGCCGCTGTAGATGAAGTCCCTCAAGTGGACGACTCCCATTCGATTTTTTCCTTTGCTCTTCCTTTCGTCTTCCAATTTCAGCAATACATACTCGATGCTCTGCACCTCGAACTGCAACCTCCCGATCTTTTCAGACCCTTTTTGTGCCTGCTCTCGCACTTTCTTCAAGTCGCGATCTCTGGGCTCTTCCAACTCGGTTGAGGTTGTCCCGTCGAAAGATGAAGAGCAACACCCCTTAACATCCTTTACCAGTTCACCATTGGCATTCAACAACTCCGTGATTGCATCCTCCACCTCTTGTAATTGCTCTTTGACTTGTCCGTACTCTAACTCGAAATCCTTCTTCCTCTTCTTGATCTCCATTCTCTTTTTCAGCTGTTTCACAGTAGTTTGGAGGGTCGTCAATTTATGAGCATCGGAATCGAGTCGGTCTAAGAACCTCCTGCTTTTGGCTCTTTTCTTAGGCTCTCTGTTGCTGGTGGAAATCTCCAGCTTATCGATGCTCAGCTCCTTCTCCACCAGTGCTCCCAAAGAACAATCGGTTTTTGACTCTACATCGTTCAACTGATGAGAAGCAATGATCTCCCCAGGCACGATCGCCTGTTCTTGCATGTCATTGAGTTTCAAATCGACATCACATTCATGCTCTGCAGATTCCCATAGCTCGAGCGTTTGATCATCAGCTGTGCAGGTCTCTCTCTTGCTCTTGCTCCTGTATAATGAAGAATCGGAGACTTGATCAAGGGGAATATCTTTCAACAATATCCCATTTCTCGTTTCGGGAATTTTGGGTTTCTTTGACTTGAGATTCCGAGCAAGCTCATCACCAACTTGCATGCCTTTCTTCGTTTCTTGATTTGGAGGCTCAATGCCGTAAGACGGAGCTTTGATTTCATGTCTGTTCCTATTACTTTCTTGCTTCACAAGTCTGTTCATCTCTTCCACCACTGCCTTTTCAACTGCTTTAAGCCTAGTGTGCATCTCCTGCAAGTCTGAAATCTCGGCCGTCAGAAAAGCACTGTATCCTTCGAGTTTCTCGGAGCTCATTTCATGAAGTTCATCTGCCATTTCAACATCCTGGTGGAACATAAGCATGTACAAATGCAATTAGAAAGGTGGAATATAAGCATGTACCAATGCAAATATCGAACTCGGATTTGAGATACCTTATCTTCATCATCGATCGGAACACAAAGCTTTGGCTTAATAAGGGCATTATGCTCGAAGGATGTTGTACCGTCTCTCAATGAAGCTATAACGGGACTATAAGCAGGCATCTGAACCTTCAACCCCCAGATTTCACTTTCCAAGAACTCAACCCTTTTCTTCATCTGTCCTATTTGTGCACTCTTTGCAGCGTTTTCTTCTTCAAGAGTCCCGCAAACTTCAGTAAGCTCATGTACTTTGTTTTCAAGCAGAACGTCACTGATGGCAGAAGCTTGGAAATCGAAGTAAAATGATGCAGCCTCAGCCTCCCACAGCTCAAACTCACTGCTTCTCTCTTGCAGCTCTAGACTCAGGTTTTCTCCATACATCCTTTGTTCTTCGATTTTATTACGTAATGTAACGACTTCAGAACCCAAATTGTCGTTTTCTTCACGAAGGTGTTCAATCTCCATTTTCTGTTCTTCGCTATCTTCAGACAGTTCACTAATCCGCTTCTCTAACTTTTCTTGAATCTGTTTAGATTCCTCACATTCCCTCTTCAGTTCCTCAAGGGTCCGGTACAGTTCTTCATTTGATTCATGTGCAGCCTGAAGCTTTTCATCCGCTTCCGAAAGCTCAATGGTCTTCCCTCTAAGCAAATCATTACCGATAACAGTTCGATGGTTTAATTCGTCGTTTAAATCTTTGACAGCATATAGCTCCTTGTGCAACTTTTCGATGGTTTCTTTCAATTCCGAAATTCCAGCTTCTTTCTTCTCCAACTTCTCCTCCAATTTCGCAATTTCGACTGCTTTCTCAGCACCAAAGGTCTCGAAAACGAGAGAGAGACTATTAAGGGCTACTGCTTCTTGTAGGGCAATACTATTCTCGTCTTCTAGAATACGCATATCCTCTTTGAGGTGCGAAAATTTCTTGAGCAAAAACCTGTTTTCTTCGAGCTGCTTGGAATTCTCCTCTTCTAATAGTAAGCAAGTTCCGTACATACTCTCGAGCTCTCCACGTTGACTCTCAAGTTCGGCATTTAATATTTCTTTCTCCATCGTTCCATCACGCACTTCCAACATCAACTGCTGGTTCATCTCTAGAAGCTCCTTCTTGTCTTTCTGCAGCATTGCATTCTGCTTCTCTGCAATCTCAAACTTATACTCAAGGGCTCGGTTCTCCGACACAAGTTCACTTCCCTCGAATTTAAGTTGCCCGATTAAAGTTAACAGAACTGAGTTCTCAACTACCAGCCGTTGCTTCTCCTCCTGGTTTCTCAATACTGAACTCTTTAGGTCTTCAACATTATCCAGAATGCATGAAAATGGAACATGATTGGATTCAGTCATATCTCGTTGTCTGTTAGCAGGATCAAACTGAAGAGCCCTGAAAACTAGATAAATCCCGGATCTTAGTTTTTCGATTTCATCCAACAGGAATTCACCTTCTATCTGCTGCTCCAGATTTTCACTCTCCAACTCCCTGATTAGTTTATCCGACAATTTGGATGCCTCCACATGCTTCTGACATTCGATCAACAGAGACAAGTTTTTTTCCTCGAGATCTTTTACGATTTTTTGGAAGATGAAGATCTCAACCTGAGCCTTGACAGCTTTACTAATTTCTTCTTCCAACTCTTTCTTTCGGAACATACTTTCTTCATGCAGTAGATGGACATGGTTTTCTAGATCCTTTAGCTGAGATTCACTTGACCGAACATAACCGGCACGCTCTTCTTGTTCGACACCGAGTGAATCCCGTAGTTTCTCCACCTGAGAGAGTGTCGATTCTTTCTCCTTCTCCAGGTCGGAATATTTTTCCTCCAGTTTATCGAATCTGAATTCCAGGATGCATAGCCTCTTTTCAACAGTCTCTAGCTTAAAGATCAGGTTATCTCTTTCACCTGCAAGATTGGATTTCTCATCTTTGAGATACTGGCAGAATTCTTCTAAAGTCTTTGACTTCGATCTCAAGCCTTCGAGCTCGATATTAGCACAAGAAAGGGAGCTTTCCAGCATTGTGTTTTTCTCCAAGAGCTTCTGCATATTCTCAGTCATTTTCTGTAAATGAGAAAGAAGGGTCGATTTCTCAGCATCGAGGGAAGATTTTTCTCCCCGAAGAAATTCACGGGACTTCTGTAATTCCTCGACAAGCTCCTTCGACCCTTCCAATTTTCCATTCATTTCCGACAGTGAACTTCTCAAAACAGCATTCTTCTCCATAAGGTCATCCATGCTTCTCAGTTTCTCATAAAGAACCTCGGTCTTGCCTCTTTGCTTACCGCATTCCTCCTTCAGCTTCGAGTTCTCGTGTCGTAATTCCTTCAACGATGATTCTAGACATTCTGGATTTAAACCTACAGACAGAAGCTTCTGAATTAATGCCTGGTATGCACTACTCAATACCCCAATTTCATCCTTCAATTTGTCGACCTCTTGCTGGAGAATATTACTTCGTTCGATTTGTACCGCAACCTCACTTTCCAGTTCTTCTTTCAGTTCCTTCAAGCCGAAAATTTCATCTTCCAAACTCTTTATTGAAATGGCGGAAGAACTGTTAAATTCATTGAGGCTTCGGTTTTCACCCTGCACTTGCTGAATTTCACCCTCCAATTTTTGGTTGCTTACTTCCAACTCCTCCAACTTTTGAAGCTTATTTAGAAGCTCCAATGTCAAAATCCTCTGCTCCTCCCGAGATTGCGAATTCAACTCTTGTAATGTTTGCAGTGTAGCTTCGACTTGCACAAACCGAAAATGCTCTTCCTGCAGTGATGTCTGAAGTTTCTCCAACTCGTATTGCTTCTTCGACAGTTCTCGATCCTTGATTGCTATTTCCTGCACCAGACTATCGGCCTCTGCTAGTAGAGATTGATTCGATGTCTCCAGCAGAACACGCTGCTCTTCCACACTCCTCAATTTTTCGGCATTGACTAGAATCTCGCTGTTTAATCGTTTTGACTCCTCTTGGGCACAAGAAAGTTCACTCTCCAATCTGGCAATTGTTTCCAAGCACTGCTCATACCGACGAGCCACGGTATCCTTCTCTTCTTTCAGCTTAGCAAGAGCATCTTTTAGAGCTTCAACTTCGGTTTCAGCTCTTTCAATTTGCATGTTGAGCATTTTTGTGTTTTCTTCAACAAGTGAGATTTTATTTTCTAATGAAGATATCATCTCAAGACACTGCTTGTATCGAAGAAGACCAGCAGCCTTTTCAGCCTCTAACTGAGAAAGATCCATCTTAAGATTCCGAGCTTCAGTTTCTGCTTCGGAAGCCCTATCGTTAAGCCCTTTTGCTTCCTCTTGGGATAGGGAAATAGTATTCTCCATGCTGGATATTCTTTCCAAGCACCGACTGTACTGATGAAGACCGGCATCTCTCTCGGCTTCCAATTTATTGAAAGCTTCCTTCAATACTTTGATTTCAATTTCAGCTTTGCTGGCTTGTTCGTCGAGATTCCTGGCATACTTTTGTGCTTCGCTAAGTTCACTGTCCAGGCTCGATGACTTCTTTAAACTCTGCTGGTACTGCAGAGCGACATCTTCCTTTTCAGCTTGAATCTCGGCAAGAGATTTCTTCAAGAATTCTACTTCGGTTTCAGCTTTACCTGCACGTTCAGACTCGGAAATAACTTTATTCTTCAGATTTTGATTCTCAATTGATAACTGAGAAAACCCACTGCGCTCACTTTCCTCGGCTCCATCGCCATTTGCCCCCTTCATTCTTCCTTCGGCGATGTTGGCATTTCGAGGCACTTTCCCGGTCTCGAATATCTCATTCAACTGCTTTAAACCCCTTTTGCTTATTCCGAAGTTCTTTTGCAAGTCATCTGAATCAAAGAATGCATGAATTTGATGTGGCGTTTCTGGCGTGTTAGGCTCGGCCTCGGGGCCTGAAGAGCCTAAGGGTAACTCGTCAGCCAGTACGAAAGGAACCTGGTTGGGGAAGGCTTCAGCCATGGTTTTCTGGGCTTGGCGAAGCTCCCCGGTTGCATGGTTATACCTCTCTGCTAATGCACGGTAAGCCCTATAAAACTCCTCAACCAATTTCATGAGCTCCGGCCGTTTTTTATAGTACATTTCCGCTCTTCTAGCAAAAGAATCTGCATCTTCTTCAATCAGTTTGATCATTGCTTTAACTTTAGAATCCATATCTGTCGAAACAGACTAATTCAAGTTGAGTATATGTGCCAACAGACAACGGTAACAAGCATGAAAACAAAGAAACTCAATCATGCACAAAACAACTCTGATATCGGAATACCGCCTTTTTATCGTACATGACGACCATGCATTGGAAATCCAATCCGGAAAAGCTAATGGAGCAAATAGAGATCTAAGTGACCTTTGAACATTTAACTACGGTATGCCAACCCATATGCTGATCCTTTAACATATAAAGCATGAACATATATATACTAAACCGATGCAGCGACGTACTTAGAAAGAAAATTCATACCTGTAAGATTATCGTAAAGCCATTTAGAATTCTTCGGGCTAATATGGCTGTCCCACCACCAAGAATACAAGCGTCTAGACTCCGAGTGCGACAAAGTCGCCATTATTCCCGCGAAGAACAATAGCACAATCAGTTTCGATTTTGCGGAAGCCTGCTCCTTATACCAGTCGCAAAAGCAAAAAGTAATGGATCCAGGCCAGAATAACACAATCTACTCTATTCGACTATTCCGAAACGAGCATTTAGGGATCTTTATCCCGAATCTCTTGCAACTATACAACCAATATAATCAAGTTAAGCTACTCCGAATGCAATCCGAAATTCAAACGAATACTCGAAAAGCTGTTGATCTATACAGTTTAAGTTACCTACTCGGTCAAGATCACTCCAATGGTAAGCAATGGTGGCTCTCGATTCGAAGTTAACAAGCACTAATACACTGAAAAGAAAAAGGATCATATCAGATCTTCAACTTTATAAACAATCAATTGAACAAATTCTCAAAAGGCAGCATATTTTATACATCACTTATACTTGCAGTGAAAGTGAATCAACAAAAAAGAATCAATGTTAGATAGAAACAAAAAATGAAAGTTGTTTGGACCCAGTGGTCCAAATTTACAAAAGGAATTCATCATATAAATCTACAAGAAAAAGCACATGATCCTGGGTGTTTTTTTTGTTCTTTTTGGAAATAAAATTCATGAGCTTTATATGTAAGAGTGGTCTCGGAAAGGAAGGAGAAAAGGAATCATATGAACAATGGTAGTCACAGAAGGAAACACCATAGTTGCAAATGGAAGAAAATCTGGTATATGAACTCTAATCGCCAAAAGAAAGGGTTTTTTTCAACAGCAAAAAACATAAACTTGAAGTAAATTGCAATCAACAAATCAGAACAAAACTGAAGAAAAAGAGAGAACTTTAAGCAAAAGGGTAAGTAAAAAAACTGCAAAATAACAAGTCTGGTTAAAATTTTGGATTAAAAACATACCAAAATCACACAAAAAAATCTGGGAAAATGGGATTTTTGATGATCAGCTGCTGTGATAGTAAATCTTCAGCCGCATCTATTGCATAGTTACCCCATTGTTGCCTCTTACAAACTCTCTCTAGACTTCAGCTTTCTCTCTCTCTCTCTCAAATGTGCTCTTTGCATTATATTCTTAGATTTGTCATAGAAACAAAGAGAGAAAAGTAAAGATAGAGTAGCAAAGAAAACAAGGTAAGTTATTTATGAATTTTGTTTATATTTTATTTTCCTTGCCTGTAAATTAAGTAATTTGCATTTAAGGAGGAGACTTGCCATTGTTCAACTTGAAGTTAAGAAATGGTACTTTATTGGTCAAATTTGATCCTGTTGATGTGTCTTTCTCTATGGTTTTCCTAATTGGAAATGAAAATTATATGACTATTCTGCCCTTCGCTTAAGACCTCAATCATCTCTGTGTTTCTTGGGTTATGGATTCCTATTGATAATGCTTTTAAACATCTTCGCTTAATGACTTTGAACTTTGAATTCCGCAAATTCCATAATCTTTTTGGAAAACTACGTATTTACTATCTAAACTATCAGTTTTGGTATGTTTTAGTACCTAAATTTTTATTTTTTTCAAAAGCATACTTGATGTTTAGTTTTTGTTTCATTTTAGTATCTCAATGTTAAAAACTTAACGCGTTTAGTATCTAAATGATCAATTTTGGTCCGTTTTAATGCCTAAACTTTCAAATTTTTTGGTACTAAAATGAAATAAAACTAAATTTTAGGTATGATTTTAAAAAAATGAAAGTTTAAGTACTAAAACATATCAAAACAAATAGTTTAAGTATTAAACGCATAATCCACACTATAATTGTATTAACGATTTGAATAAAAGTTTGAATGTACTTAAATACATAATTTATTCTCATTAAGAGTTTGAGAGTTATGATTAAATTAAATATTTCAAAAAAAATTGAACTAAAAAAGAATAAATGTTCAAATTTGAATATGTGAAATTAATCTTTAAAATCATTCAATTATATGTGAATATGATATAAAAATTAATTTATAAAGAAAAATATTTTTATTATTCTTTCTGGCATTGCTTTTCACTCACAAGAACAAATAATTGCCGCTTAATTTTGCAACAGTTGGTAATCTTTCAAATAAATCAGTAAATCACACATTAACAACAAACCAAACTTCACTTAATGAAAATCTCCATTTTAATTTAATTAGTTAACGACTTAGTGGAAAAATAAGTATTTAAATTATACTTAAAGTTAATTTTAGGTGTTTAAGAAAATTTTCGTTCAAAACAGGTGTACGGTATTTTCTCCTTTATAATTTTAAGTGTTTACATTATAATAACATTTAAAAAAAATCATTATATGATATGTGTCACGTTTTTTTAAATTTTTTATTTTTGAAAAAGTAAAAATATTTTTAAAAAAATTTATTTTAAGGTGGAAAAACTATACCCCTCCTAGTCCCGCATCCCCCATGAATTTTCAATGTCACACACACCAATTGTAATTCATGATTCTAAATTTAGGGTTAGGGATTCAAAGGTTTGGGGACGAAAAAGGTGATGAACAGTTAGTGGATGAACAAAAATATGTAGGTGGCCATTAAGCAATGAGACGGTGATTGACCGACGATGGCTGAAAATGGAATTTAAGTTTTTTAAATAAAAATTTTAAAAATATAATTGTGACACGTATCGTTTAATGAGTTTTTTTTAACGACTATAACAACTTAGATGTAAGCTGTAACAGCGTAAACATCAAAAAATGTAATAAAAAAACCATTAGATACCTACTTTTTAACAAAAAAATATTTTTTAATTGCCTAAAATTATTTTATAGTATAATTTGAACACTTACTTTTTACATTTATCTTTAATTAATTAATAATCAGAAGAATTGAGTGATGATGCGTATCCTTCTATTTAAATTAAACTAATTTGTCATTATCACGTTATAAATAATTAAAACATTACGTAAAATTTGATTCCAATATGTATTGGATTTTTTTTTGACATGAAATGTGAGCCTAGTTAAAAATGCCTTCTTAACTCAATCGAGCAAAAGCTCGATCGCAATAATGAAATGAGAAAGGAGTGTCTGACAAGCATCGTATTTGTCGAATAATTAATCTTTTTTCTCGGATAATTATGCTAAGAACGTAGTATAGAGAAGAAGGGTGTCGGTCTACAGGGATTCAAAAAAATTTAATATCAATTTGAATTAATCTTTAACCAAGAAATCTATAAAACAATAAAATAAAAAAATGAGGTTTTTGAATAATAAAGTAAACTAAATAAATAAAATAAAACTAAAGTGCAAAAAATAAGAAAGTAAATTGTAAAGAAATAATTAAGATGAGAGATAGCCTCCAACTTCGCTTCGCATCAATCCATCTCGATCACTGAAATAGATTTTACTTCGGATACTTGCCTGTTACATTCTACAAAGCCCAACCCTTGTAACTTGCTCTTCTATCTAGTGAACTAATTTCCAAAGCCCAGCTCTAAGAAAAAGTTTTTGAGGTACATTAGAGAAAGTCAAGCTTTTACCCTCTTCTCAGTATCGAAGTCGACTAAGGCCTCAAGCGAGTCGAAGCACATATACAACCATTTGGCACGGCTGGACCAGCAACAGTTCATGTCCTGTAAGGAGTCAAATCGCATAATAATGTAAGCACCAATCCAGGGACAAGAATGCACCTTAACTTCTCTCAATGTTAGAAGTTTATGTACAAAATCAATATTGTACGTTCCTTTGATACTAACAACCAGACACAGTTGTTTCCATGATATCTCCTCGTTAGGAATGCTTTTAATGGAGAAATCCCGTTGTGGGGGTCGCCCTTTGGCTTTGCAAATTCAAAAGATAATCTTTGAGAGGTTCAACCCTTTGGCTTGGCTCAACCAATGTATTATGGGTAGAACTGTGGGTGATCTTTGAAATCATATTCTCCTTGTTCTTAGCAGACTCATCCAAGTTTAAGACTTCAGGATCCCTAGTAGTTGAACCACCCTTTGACACATTGGCAATCTTTTGACCTCTAAGATGAATTGGTGGCTCTCCCTCACGAATCCACCCCCCAATGCCCACCTCAATCAAAACAACGCAAAAGATCTCCCGTCTATGATCAACGAGTTAAGGTTGTCTCTTTTTGATATTGTAGCTGTTGTTTTTGTTGCACTCGTATTTCTCTGATCCACTGGTCTTTCTTTAGCAGTCAAGACATCGATGATAAAATAGTCCATCTTCCTCCCGTTGTCGCGAGAGACAGCTTCCCCTATACTTCCTTGGTCTTCAAATCTGACACAGGCAAAAGTGACCTGGCTCTTTTTTTTTCCTATTCCTATATGAATTATCGTCCCTAATATATATATATATATATATATATAGTTTCAATAATTTTGTAAGTGTACTCTATATTTTCATACTATTATACAATCTTTAAATAAAATCAATAATAACTAACAGGGATGGTCTGAGTGGTAAGTAACTTGATTTAGTTTAAGGAATGTCTCAGGTTCGAGTCATTGTTGTTGGGAAATAAACCGAGTACGAGTAATTTCCTATAACCAGATTAGTGATAATGCGAAATAAAAACGGAAAAATAATACCCGAAATTAATAACGGAGTTCAACCAATTTGTTTACGTCTCCGGACTGCTGCAGATCTTTTACTAAGAGAATAAATTTACAGGTGTTTACAAAACACTCACAAGAAAACTCTCTAGTATTGGGAGAAAGAAATGATTTGGGATGATTTTGAAGCTAAATGAGTTATGATATTTATAGTTGAAGCTTAAGGACTAATCTTTGAAAATACCCTAAAGTGCAATGACTAAAAAAACTTTCCTCATTTTTTTAAGTAGCCGGCTGCCACTTTATTAATTTAGAAGCCCATGTGCTTTGAATTTTCAACAATCTCCCACTTGAAGACTGATTTTAATCTATCTTCACACCTTGATCAATGCAGCAGCATTTCTGGTTTTGTTAGTCTAGCATGCCAACTGAAGTTGAACACAACTTCAGTTTGTCCGTAGTCACCGTCTTTGTCAACATGTCTGTCGGATTTTGAGCTCCACTGATCTTTTCAAGTTTCAAAATCCCATCTTCCAGAAGAGACCGAATAAAATGATATCTCAATTGTATGTGCTTCGTCCTGGAATGAAAAGATGGATTCTTCGCTAGATGGATAGCACTTTGACTATCGCAATACAAGACA